TTTTTTTTTTTGAATCGTTCTGTTCGCAACCACTTGGTTCCCACGATAGAACGTAACTATGGACCTAAAGCACGTATCTGCTGGAGTCTAAAAGTGGAAAAAAATGTGCGGTTTCAGACGCAAACAAAATTATTTTCTCGAAGAAAGCGACAGAACCAGTAATCAGAGAAATAATCTCTCTTGTCACTTTCCAGCGAATACATTTCAGCCTTAAAATCGGTACAATTTTGCAGCTGTCATGTACTGAACAGGGCGGCCAAATGACCTAAGAGCTATCCAAATAAACCTGCTAGAAAGCTTTATTCGAACCTAAGCCAGCATTCTTTGTGGTTCCCAGCTGTGCAGTATTACCTAACTTTGGTCCTCCTTCGACGGATTCTTAATTAGAAGTTATTGTGGTAATGAATGCCTTTTTATGTATAATTTTTCCATATAATTTATTGCTGCATCTTACTGTGCTTCAACAACGCCATTTTGAATTGTCAGTTTCTTTGCATAGTTACAGAACTAGCTTAAAATTTGCATATTCTGATCGTTCCTTCTGCTTATACATAGCTACCCTGTGGTTTTCGTACCTAATTTGCAGTCTCTTTGAGCTTCCAGCCAGTAAACAAAATGTGTACTTCAGAGCTTACAGAAAATTCAGTTCTTGATGCTCGTTTACTTTTTAGCTCAAAAGGACTGGATATACATTACATACTCCAGAAGCAGATTTTTATCGTGCTGTGACGGCCGACGATACTAGAATATCGGCCTTGGAAAGAAACCGAAGTTTAATCTAGACAGAGTTGAACCCGTTATGTTGTACTGCGTATTCGTACACTTCTATACAGGTAGTAATTAGTGGTACTCAGTTTGAAAAGTTGTGATTTTGCATGAGCCAAAACTTTATTTATTTATTTATTTATTTTTCAATTATTTATTTTATTCTAGTTCGTTTACTGGGTAAGGTTCATTTAAAATAACCCCTGATATTTTCGGAATTAACAGTTGAAGCCAATAGTGCATGGAACTCAGTGCCTGGAGTGAGGCTGTTACTGAAGGATACACCTTTTGATATGATAACATTAAGTTGTTATCCCGCGACTTATTAGTTGAAGAACTTATGGAGTCGTCTTAAGCGGTTTCAGATTTTTAGATCGTTCAGTGACTACAGTTTTTCCTGCTTCGCAGTTTACTTGACTGGTTAGTGCGGCTTCACTGCTCCACAAAATTTAACTTATACCAGTCTGATCTTCGGTTTCTCCACATCTCTTATTTACAGAAAAACGTTTATGGAGACGTTGTAGACGTTTTATGGCTTTCAAACATTAAGTTGCTTGAAGTATTTTGTTTGACTTTTGAAAAAACTTTCAGTTTTTGGTAACTCGTGTTTGAAAAAATGATTTTTTGTACCATTTTTGTGCTGCATATGAAATGGCCTATGTTTCCAGTACATGAGTCTTTTCGGGGTGGATTGACTTCTGAGAAAACCATCAAATATGCAGGCACCGTCACTTCTAATTTCGGCTTCGTGGCAGGACCAGAATTACCGTAGTACGGCAGGCTGGCAAGTTTTAAAAATGCTGACCACCGGTCAAGTTTGGCGCTATTTACCAATTTTATTTTTT